GCCCTCAGTCCCAGAGGACAGGGCCAAGCCCAGTGTTCCAGGCCGACCCTGGCTCTGGAATCTTTTGTTCCCAGAGCTGAGCTTCCAAGTGATGCTCCCTCTGCTCTTTCCCTGACCTTGCTTTTTAATCCGTGAACTTCACTCCCCTACAAGGTCCCAGGGATGCCTTTGAAGTGGCTTCAGAGTTTTCTGCGCCTTGGTCCTCTGTCCAGGACTGGGGGTCGGCCAAAAGTGGGCGGCCTTCTCCTCCGCCTTTTGATCCTCCCCTCAAGGATCCGGTGTCCTTGCTGCATGGCCTCATTGAAACCAGCTGCCACGTCTTCAGCCACCCTGGGCCACCAGTCCTTGAAAGAGAAACAGCCCCACCCTGAAGGTGACCGTGACTGGGGTCACCGGCATGAGCCCAAGGGTCTTGGCCTTGACAGGTAAAAGCATGCATGCTAATGGAGGGACTTAGGGCGCCTTCTGCCTGCCATCACTTCGAGGCCTGAGGACAGAGTGCTCAGAGCCCCGTGGGCAGGGAGAGGGCACTGGGCCATGTGGCAGGACCTTATTTTGCCAAGCCAAGGTGGGGACGTGGGTTGTGCTGAGAGGAGACCCCTCAGTGTCCCCTGCCCTGTGTTGGCTGGACTTGGACAGCTGGACTCACCCTGATTCGGATCTCCCCTGCCACGAGAGTGCAGAGCACAGTGCGTGGGAACCAGGCAAAATGCTCGAACTCGGTCTGGTTTTCTCCCTGCTCTCCGCCCTCAGACTGCCTGAAGTGGGCAGTGCCCCTCTGCTAGGCAGAAACCTGAGACTGAGCCATAAAAGAAGTGCTCCTTCAAGCTGTGTGTGTCAGGTATTTGGTCACAGTGACAAAAAGCTGACACACACAAGCCCCCAACTAGAAACCACCACCTAGTTTCCCCCAGCAGCAGACATGACCAGATTCGGAACAGATTGGCGGATTTGGACGATGGAAAGCCCCCGCTACAGCGTAAAGGAAGCTCTGGCCCCCAAACAGGGTGGAGCCCAGGAGCTAATGCTGAGTGAAAGGGGCCAGACACAAAAGGGCACAGGCTGTGGGACTCCACTAGGTCAGGTTCAGGAGCAGGCAGCTGCCCTCCGAGCAGGGGTATGGACTGGACAGAGGCAGGAGGGCCCTGGGGCACCGGAAATGTCCTGTATCTTGATCTGGGCAGAGGCTTCCCACATGGACACAAATATGGAAACTCTGACTCAATTTCAGGTTTGTGAACCTTAGTTCCTGTATGTGAGTTATGCCCCTAAAGCAAAATTATTCAAAGTTTAGGCCCAGTGTGGTGGCGCACACCTGTAGTCTCAGCACTCAGGAGGCTGAGGCAGAAGGATCACTGTGAGTTCAAGGCCAGCCTGAACTACATAGCAAGACCCTGTCTAAAAGAAATCTTCACAGTTTAGACCCATTGCTCCTGCTCGCCAGCTGACCGAGCGGCCACTGACTCTTGCCTGCACAAGTCTCGTGTCCGCTGGGAGCGACCTTCATCCAGTGCTGGTGGCTGCACCCATGGCAGGGAGCAGGAACTTCTCGAGCTACAGAGAAACTGGTCTTTCTGTGCCACCCCGCACGTGGGGCAAAGCTGGGTCCAGGATATGCCCACGAGCAACCTGCCGGGAGGAAGATACAGGGTGGCCATCTCGTTTCAAATGTGGTAGAGACCACTGACGTTTTAACAAAACAAAAATACAACAACAGGCCATGCCTGGCTTAGCAGTCCAGTTAAATAAGGCAAGGGGGAGGAAGAGCTGAGGAGGCGTTGAGCCCTGTGTTCAAACTGCACCAAGAACACAAGAAACTAAAATGCACGTTTACCCAGAGAAAATAAGACACTGGAAGGAATTATATTAAAATGGTTTTCTGGGAAATTAGAATTGGGGAGTTTTTACTTTCTTCCTTGCTCTTAAAAAAAAATCCCCAACTAGATGGTAAAGAACAAACCATATCCTCTTTCCCGATCAGCCTGGATAAAATCTCCTCCAGAGGTCTGTGAATTGGGGGGCCCTTCTGGGGGCCCCATGCATGCTGCATCGCCACCAAGCAAGAACCATCAACACTGCAACCCCAACATGGCCTTGGGGCTCCAAGAAGGGGCTGATGCACAGCAAAAAGGGACAAGGGGTACACACGGCGCTGCAGGGGCCACTGAAGCCAGCCGCCTCCAGCCAGCCTTGGAGGGACCAGCAAAGGGCGTGTGACATTTCTGGAGATAACACCACGAAATTTGGGGACAACTGACATTCTCTACTCCATGTTGCCTCTGGGTCCTGGCCCCCTTAAGGGAAGGGAATGGAATTAATATGAGAAAATGGAAAGATAGGAACAAAATCTTTGTAAATAGGGAGGAATGGAGGGGTTGAAGGGAGGGCTGGGCAAGGGTGAAAAATAAGAACCAAGAGAGACTATGCAAAGGTGCAAATTTCCAATGATGAATGTCATTATATTGTATACCTAAAATATACCAATGGTTAGAATGAATAATTGATAATGCCAAATAGGAAGAAAAGGTCCAAAGGGGTAGGGGTACTGGGAGGGGCAGGGGAAAGGAAAGAAGGGAAAGGAAAAATGATGAGAAATGGAAAAAATGGAAACAAAGTCTTTATAAATAGGGAAGGGTGGAGGGGGTGAAGGGAGGGCTAGGAATGGGGAAAAGATAAGAACCAGGATGCATCATGTAAAGGTACAATTCCCAATGAGAAATGTAAAAGTGTAGAGTACCTACAATGTACCAATAAAAGAATTTATGAAAAAATCGTAGCATTTTTAACTATTTATCTTTGCCCACCTCAGTCACCCTCTGCTGCCCTTGAAGGGAAAGAGCAAACAGAAGGTTTCCCAAGTGCCCAGGGTGAGTCAGCTCCCTGCCGGCTCTGGCCCTTCTTCCCTACCGAAGTCCATTACAAGGTCGGCCCCATCTTCTGCCCCATCTTCTGCCCCATCTCTCCTCTCCTCGTCCTCCAGAGACCTCCTTCCCTCTTCCAGCTCCAGCAGGGGCTGGGCTGGCTGCAGCAGGCAGGCCCCGGCCCCACCCCACTGCTGTCTGCACCTCGGCCTGGCAGCCTGAGTCCTCGCTCAGAGCAGAGTTGTCAGAGTACTTTTCTGAAAGGCAGGTTCACAATCAAGTGTGAAAGGCAACTAATACAGTCGTGGAAGTAGCCAAACGGACCGGTTTTGGTTCTGCCCCAGAGTCCCCCCACTGCGAGCTCCAGTAACATCGTATCAAACGCTGTTCTGAAGCTTCAGGCAGCACTGGTAGAATTCAGCCCTGGGTTCCACTCTGTGCTGAACACACTCCACCTGCGGAATGACCCGAAGGCGTGGCACTCCTGACACCGTGTCCCTCAGGGCTGTCTCTGTTCCCTCTCCCAACTGTTTCCCTCGAGGGCCTTCCTAGCCACCCCCCTGCCCTCCTCCTCGGCCATTCTGCTGCTCTGGTGGGTTCCGCTGCCCACATTCCTGCCTTTCCACCTTTCTCTGAAGCTCAGGCCCAACTCTTGTTCTCAGATTTTCCGGAGACCTCACAAACTTATCCAAAATTAAACTCCACCTCCTCCCCAAGCCCTTGGCCCCTCTGGTCACTCAACCCCTGCCTGACTCTGGGGCCTAATTAGTAGCCAAGCTCTTGTGCCAAGTCTCTTCCTGTTCAAATCCTCCAGTGGATGCCACCATCTGCTGTGAACCAGCGCGCTGTCCTAGCTCCAGGGTACTTTATGACATTTGTGGTACTCCAGGTCACACAACTGGCGACAAGGCTTTTAGGGTAGACACCTCGCCGCATCGCCACCAGCTTCCTGTTAAATGGTTCTGGGTCATCCCGAGTTGGAATTAGGCACAGTGCTTCCCTGAGGCAGGACTGCTTACACGGGATCATCCAGCTCGTCTTCCCTTGGCTGTGCCTGTAAAAGCCCACCATCTGGCCATTTCCCTTTCCTTTGCCTCCAAGAGTCTAGAGGGATCTTGTCATTTCACGCTAAATATTTTCTGAATATTTTCGTGATTGTCTGTGTAACTCAAAATCCAATTCCTAAGTCAGGATGTCGTTTTTCAAGGGTTAAGAATTAATTGCTTCTTGCTTCTGAAAGTCTTTGAGGTCAACACATCTGGGACCCTCAGATGGGCCGCAGCGGTGTCTGAGATGTCATGAAGTCAGGTTGAATGTCTGAGACAGGACGTGGACCTCTGCACCCCTAACATGTACCACACGGATTACCTGCCACTGGGGCACTTGGTCAGTGTCACACCAAACCCACTTCACATCAGTGACCTCAACAGCAAGAATGTCACAGACCTGTGTTCTCTCCTGTCCCAGAGAAAAGCACAGGAGCCTGGTGAACCAGTGAGGAGGATCCATATGGGAAGGATGGATGGGGGAAGCTGCTAGGCCAGCAACCAAGCCCTTCGTCTCTGGTCTCTGGGGGCTTCCCGTTTCCACGCTTCAGCCTTGGCTGGGTCCTTGTCCCATCCCCGTATCCTGCCACCATTTACCTCTCAGCTGGGCAACCTTGGTCAAGTGTCTAATCCTGCTGGCTGGTTTCCTTGTTTTGTCCAGTGAAAGCCAGGCAGGTTCAAGGATTCCTTCCAGTGCTGGGATTGCATCTGTCTGTCCCAGCCGCCCATCTACAGAATGGGAGCAGCAACAGTGGCAAGGCAGGCCTGAACACCCTGGGGTCCCGGATTTGGCGAGCTCGGCAGAGGTGCCAGAGACAGGCAAAGGGCCATGACTCCCAGCGAATGAGGGCAGGGCTCTTAGAGGAACAGGGGTAGAGGGAAGCCAAGGCTGAGAAGGGGGGCTGGGCCTTCCAGAGGGCAGCGGCAGCGCTGTCTGGGGGGAGGAAGGAAAGTCGGACATGGTCTCCACAGCCTTGCCCAAGGCAGAGGCCTCTCCAGCCAGGGGCCCACGCAGCTGGATGGGCCCACCTGACAGCCCTGGCCTGCAGGAGTCAGGAGGCCCCAGAGACCACATCAAACGCAGCACAGCAACTGCTGCCCATTAGAACATTTATTTCTCAGAGAGAAAATAAGTTTCCGACAGTCATATTATAGTAGGTAAAATTAACTTCTGTATTCTTTACAGGCATAGATTTTTGTTTATCATCTCTTATACCATCTGTTATAAACAATTCTAGAAAGCAAATAAAGTCACTTTCTACAATAAATAGAGCATCATGTGCTTCACAGCAGACGCGACAGAGACACGGAGGCCCCGTGCCACAGCAGGTCTGAGCCGTTTCCCGTTCTAAAAGAGCATTTTTAAAAATGAGACTCAGAGACTGAACGACTCAAAGAGACTGAAAAATAGAGACTAAGAAGAGAAAGTGTGAGGGAAGAAAGATCTAGATACATAGAAAGAGGGAGGGAGCGAGCCCTGGGATCTTACAACACAGGTTCAGACAAAGCTCACAGCGTCCACAGCTGGCCAACTACCTGGGGGGAGGACGGCGCCTTTACACACCACACCGTGCGGCGGAGGTGGAGGACTCCAGGAATGGAAAGTGTAGGCCTGAATAATTCAGAACAGTATTTTACAGTTATATACACCATGTCCTTCCCTAGCCATATGCTGTATTGTTTTTATTATTGTACAAAAGCCCAAATCCCATTCTGTATGTTAGAGCTGCTGGTTCCCTTTTGAACTCTGGCTCGTGTCCCAAATGTGTAAGAAGTCGGTGTGTGGCTGGCTGTAGTTTTAAAAAGTTGAGTGTGTAAAAATGGCAGTGATCTCCCCTGTGACTTTTTGTCCAAAACTCCCCTATGAAAAATTTAAAACAATTAAAAAGAACGTCGAGTTAAAAATCAACATGGCGATCAGTGGCCTGCAGCTGGGCCCTGCGACTTTGGTGCTCAAGAGGTGAAGGAAACGTCCAGAGAACAGACGTTGAGGCCTCTGAAAGTTGCGTTGCTTTGTCAGTCAGCATTCCCCATTCACAGTTTTTTCCTTCCATTTTTGAGAAGGTGAAGGTGGGGAAGAGATTAACAAGAAAGAGGGAAGGAGTCGGGTTGAAATTGGAGGGCTGCGTTCCCTGGTAGGGACCAGGGCAGCAGAGCTGCTGGCGGGTGGGAAGCCGTGCCAGGGTGGTCCCATGCTGCCCACCGTGTGTGGTGAGGAGGGCCGGGCCCAACCCCTCTTGAAGGCCAGTAGCAGCCTGCCCTCCCACAGCAAGCCGGGCAGAGGGCGTGGGTCCACCAGGCGTGGCGGGTCAGCAGCGAAAGCGGGGGTCTCTGGGTATGGGGGCAGTGCTGGGGGACGGGGTCCTCGGGGGGTGGCCCTAGCACGACACCCACCTAGCAGAGCAGCTGGCCAAGAGGGGAATGGGATGTGAAAGAAAAGGTCAAGTCTGGTGATGTTTCTGTCAGTTTGGCACAAGAGAGAGGAAGGACAGGAACGGAACGTGGGCTCGAGAGCCTGGGCCTCGGGGTGGAAGACAGACAGACAGGAGGGGCGGGGAGGGGAGCTCAGGGGGAGTCCCGAGGGCCCAGGCACCCACGGCATCTCTGGGATCAGTGTGGGCCTTGGCCGCCCTGGGGGGATGGAGGGAGCCAGGCAGCCCGAGGAGCGCAGGCCTTCTCACCTCAGCCTGGCCCGGGCCAAGCCCACAGCAAGTGGTTCTTCAGTGGAGCGTCTGGAGGGACCCGGGCAGGAGGCTTTGGCACACAGCAGCCCTCCAGGGAACCACATGAGCGGTCAGAATGGGGGCCTCCCCTCCATGGGGACACAGTCCAGCCCCCGCGGGGAAGCTGCCGGCCACATGTCTGGCCAGGGCAGGAGGGGCTTCTCGTGCCCCACGGATGGCAGGCGGGCGGGCGGGCGGACGTAGGCCCAGCTCGGCCCTCACAGGTAGCTGGAGGTGACGAAGGAGTGGGGGCCCCGGACGCGGCTGAGGTGGATCATGGCGCGATCATAGGCCACCTGTACTGACTTGCGGATGCTGGTCTTGCGGCCTTCTAGCATCTTGAGCTTGTCCACAGTGTCTTCCACACCCAGGGGCAAGACTTTGTCCCTTGGAAGCCACTGCCTGAAATGCAAGTGCGGTTAAGAGGCTGGGCTCTGCTGGGCCCCAGGCAGGTGAGCTGGCAGGGCTGGCCGCCAGGTCCTTCCCTGGGCCCTCATTGTGCTGAGAGTTGTCAGGGTTCAGGAGAAACCTGCCATCCCTAAGAGCGGGGCCTGAGCCTCACCTGCCTGGGGGAACTGCAGGGCTATGGCTGGAAGGAGACTTGATGCCAGGAACCCCGGGTCTCCTGGGCCCGTACCGTGTGTGCATGTGCCTATGTGTACACGTGTGTACGTGTGTCTTTAACACTCCCCGGCTGAATATGACACATGGCTAGGAGCACAGCCTTGAGTCGGATCTCGGTGTGGATCCCAGTGTGGGCAATGGGGCCTCCGCTTCCTCATGAAAAAACAGACCGAGGGCATGAAGATTTAACTAAGAATAAGCAGTGTGCACAAGGACACCAAGCGACTCCCCAGTCAGTGGTGGCTATCAGTATCTTTCTCACCAGCCAGTCCTTGCTCCTTACTGTGGAAGCAGGGGCGATAGCGCGCCCCTGCTGGTGCCAAGACTCCTTAAGGTGCAGAAACTGGTGAACGAGTCCCTTTCTCAGGCCACCATGCTGCCGGGCCCTGCGGGATTGACATGCACCTTCCCACAGCTGCTGGGAGTGCTGGCAGCTGTTGGGCACCGCTGAGTCCCTCTCCAGGAGTCACCTAGCAGGGAGCTGCCTGGCCCGAGGTGAAAGGCTCCCCGGGGCCAGTGGCAGAGGGCAGAGACATAGGCCTGACTGCCAACAGCTCTCCTGAGTGCACCAGAGGCCTCTCTTTGTTCAAGTCCAGTGGTTCTTCTTTCTCCACTCAGGGCTGCGATCCTCACTGGGACACACTCTCTCCAGCCAGCCTCCCGACAATCTCCACTTGGAAGGCTTCCCGGAGTCCCACAGGCCACACCCCTGTAGCTGTAATGCTAGTAAAGCACAGCGCCTGTCCCCTCCCCTGGGGCGGGCCTGCACTCTGGCAGGGGGCGGCAGTAGCACTCACCAGGTGCGCTTGTTGTCAAAGAAGAGGACAAGGAAGAGCTTCTCTCCAGCCTCTGCCTGCTTCTGTTCTCCCAGCTTCAGCACGTCCAGCGGGGGGACAGGTATGGGGACGCCATTGTGCAGGAGGCCCTCCCGGGGCATCTTGGGGTCGATGATCTGGAGGGAAAGAGATGGGCGCTCAGGAGGGGGACTGGGTGAGCAGGGCTCCCAGCTACAAGACTCACCACTGCACACCCCGTATCTAAGCCGCAGAGGCTCAGCCCTGTCCACATGAGTGATGGATGGGCTGGCATCTCCCTGGCCCCCAGCTCAGCACACGCTCAGTTCACGGTCCGGTCCTCTGGCCCTGCCCAACCAGTCCTGATGAGGGGCCTGCTCCACGAACTGTCAGGCCCCGAGGCCACAACAGCAGTGGGAAACCTGGGGGGAGGGGAGAAAGTGGGGCTCTGACGCCCAGCCAGGCAGATGAACCCCTTCTCAGGCCTCTTGGGGAGAAGGGAGAGGTTGTTTCCTTGCCTCTCCCACCTCAGGTGCTCAGGGCCTTGCCTGGGCACCGTGGGGGCTTGGCATCAGCAGGGGGATGCCCTACAGCTTAGAGCAGAGCCCCTGCTGCCCACCTCAGCGCTCTGCCCCCGCCTATGGCAGCTGGATGTCCACAGGAGCTCGGTGCACAGCTGGTAGCCTGACCCTGGAGGCTCGGGAGTGCACGGCAGGGCCTGTCTTGGTCGGGTTTGTTTCCAGCACCCAGCACCCCCTGCCTAGCTCAGAGCAGGTGCTCAGCAAAATGCCCGGCAGCACCAACACGTCAGTAATTCTCCAGGTCTGTGGCGCACTTTCCAAGTTCCCAATGCTCCTAATTATCCAACTGCATCTCATTCAATCACTTGCAGATGCCAGGAAGTCTGCGGACAGGTGTTTGCTGGCAGAGGAAAAGGCCAAGCACAGGAGAGGCCTGCTGAAGCCACAGCCAGGACTCAGGCCAGACGCCTGGGCAAGCTGGGCCTCTGCTGCTGCAGCCCTGCCCAGCCCAAGGCCAGAGCGGCCAGCTGAAGACGCCTGTGCCTGGTGCAGAGGCCTGGGAAATGTACTGAGGGAGCAGCTCCTCCAGAGACCCAGCAACCTTACTCCTATACCTGTCCCGGCCGGCCTTTTCTCAGAATGAACTGCTCTCGTGATTCCCCTTTGGGCACCTACCAGCTTCCTCATACCCTTCTCGGGACGGGCAGCTCGGGCAGCTGCTCTGTGAAGAGCTCACTCTGACAGAGAACCACGAACTCTCCCAGGGTGCCCGTCCGGCCTGGGACCCAAGCAGAGGGTCCTAATGAGGACAGCCACACAGCCCTCCCTCCGAAGCCTCCTCAAGGACCAACCCACTGGCTCCCAAGAGGGCGCTGGGGAAAACTTCCTGAGGCCCAAAGCAAGGTGGACAGGGCTGCCCCCAGGAGAGCTTTCGCATCCCCAAATAATAATTAATGGTCCATTCACTCAATGAAGGCTATGCAGATGCAGAACACATGAAAACAAAGCTTACGATAAATTTAACATATTAGACAATAAATGTGTACACACACTATGGGCACAACTGTAATATGTGAACAACCAGTAAAAGGAATGATATAAAGGACCTGAATCAACATGTTAGAATGATGAGGTTTGTGTTGCTTTTTTCCCCTCTATATTCCTAAAATGTTTATACTGTAGTACATATTACTTTTACAAAACAAAAACATGAATACCTTATTTGTTTAAAAGATAAGGACTTAAGCCAGACACGGGCATTCACTGGTAGTCCCAGCTACTTGGGAGGCTGAGGCAGGACAGTCACTTGAGTGCAGGCATTACAGTCCAGCCCAGGCAACTTAATGAGAACCCCCATTTTTAAAAAATGACAAACGCAGGGCCAGGGATTTAGCTCAGTGGCCCAGCGCTTGCCTCGTAAGCTCAAGGTCCTGAGTTTGATCGCCGGTACTCAAAAAAAAAAAAAAAGACAAAGGCTTAAAATAGAAGGTTGAAACAATAGAATATGCAAATATATACTGAAGTCTGCACAGGAGAAAGACTATAGGAGCGTGCAGCAACATAAAAAAAACACAAGTTACATTCAGGCGGGGACTGAATTTCTTTAATCATGAATGAAACTGTATGAATTCGAAGACTGACTGGGGGTAGCTCAGTGGTAGTGCTTATCCAGCTTTGTGGAAGTCCTGGCTTTGATCCCCAATGCTGCTGTCATCCAAGACGAGTGATTTTTAGAAAACACTAGTTTTGAACTGTTTTTCTGTGCATTATGAAATTTAAAAAGTCATGATGATAACCCTAAACACGGACAGCCTTGGTCACTTCCTTAATGACTCAGCACTGAGGGTCTCTGGCCCTGTGAAGTCAGGCAGTCCCGGGCCAGCTTCTAGAGCCGAGAGGCCACAGTGCGACTTCCCACGCTTGCTCTGCCAAGGAAAGGAAGGTAAGCAGGACGGGGACTACGGCTCCGAAACTGTGCAGCCTCCAGGAGACACTGTCCTCATCTGTCCGGACAGGGTCAGAGTTCCCAGCCCATTTAGCTTGGGAGGCTGCTGTTGGGCTCAAAAGTCACATACAGAAACGGGCTGGGAGAAGCACAGAGCTCTGAGTGCACGGGAGAGGCGGGCAGGGCGGTTCCCGCCCCAGGCCTCGAACCACCCAGGAAGCTTTGGGAAAATACTCATGCCTTGTTCTGGCCTCGAGAGTCTCCCTCGGTAGTTTTAGAGTGGAGCTGGCTGCGTGTAAGTGTTGCTTTAAAAATTCCTCCATAAGATTCTGATAGGCCCCCGAGGCTTAGAATCAGTGGCATCTTCCACAGCTGGGTGGACACTCCCTTCCCTACTGAGACCGAGCTCTAAGAAATAACAAGGTGGTAAAACTAAAATCTTTAGATACTGCTACTGTGGAAGAAATGGAAATTTTAGCTATCACTGGTGGGACTATAAATCGGCACTTTCAGGCAACTTGTAGCCAACTTTTGTCCAGACTGAGCCCCTAGAAGGCACTCGTATGAATTCACCATGAAGAACTATCGTGGATGTACACAAAGATAAAGCTACAATAATGCTTATGCTTATTGCCAACTGTTTATTATAGTGAAAAATTCAAACAATCTAAATAACCAACCAGGGAATGATTAAACTTTGGTACATAAATACAAATGAAGATGATGGAGTCATTAAATGATGTTGACAAAGAGTGTTTAATGGCATGGAACGTGCATGTTCATTGTATGTTGTTTAGTGAAAAGGAGGTTAAAAACAGTACGGTCTCAAATATGTGCATACTACGCCTTAAGGCAGGCTGGTTATGCACCAGGTCATCCCTGAACAGATGGAATAATTCTAAACTCCATGGCTCAGAACACGGGCTATTCGGAGCCACGGGCTCAAATTCCCACCTTGCCACTTACTAGGTGGCTGACCATGGGTAATAGATCTTTCTTGCTTACAAAACAGGAACAACTTTGCCTTCCTCAGCATTTCAAGGACTCAGCATGATAGATGTTTAATCAAACATCTAAGCAATAAGAGGGTTTTCAGTCCTCCACAATAAGCATATATTACTTTAATGCATAAGCAAATAAAAAATGCTATTAAAATCTTAAGCACCCTAGTCTCTGTCTGCCTGCTTTTAGCCTTTTAAAAGTTCTTCCAGCTGGGAGCCTTGCTGGTTTGCCCCATAAAAGCTGGGATGAGCTCCCCACCCCTTGGCAGCTAAAGGCACCCTGACCCCCACCACACTCTGCTGGCTTGATCAGATCAGATAAGCCCCCGTGGCAGGCAGGGGGCAGAGCCGCCCAGGGACACAATAGGGTGGCGTCTGGGGCAGACTCACCAAGGCAGGGTAGGAGGGGTAGCCTCGGCACTTGGCCCACACCAGCTCCAGGGGCTCCAGGTCTCCGCGGTCTTCAAAGGGCATCAGGAGGCTTCTGCCTGGGGGTGGGGGAGGGGAGGAGACAGTGCCCAGCGGGGACTCGGAATGACGCCCCAAGCCCTGCCGGTGGCCTCCATTTGACTGGGGCAGCCCAGGAAAGAGTCGGCAACATCCCCTCCACCCTTCCTTTTCCCTACCCTTCCTTAAGGAGAAACTCATAGGCTGGATCAGAGGTTGGCAAACTAGCTCTGCAAATGGCCAAACAGCAAATAGTTTAGGTTTCAGGAGCCACCGGATCTTGGACCCAACTACTCAACTGCAGCTGTAGCATCAAAGCAGCCACAGGCAATCTGGAAACAAGCAACTGTGGCCGTGTAACCGATACAACTCCATTCTAGACACAGAAATCTGAATTTCATGTAGTTTACAAAACATTATGAAACATTCTTGATTTTCTTTTAAATCATTTAAAAATGTTAAAAAAACAAAACAAAACAAAAACATTTTAAGCTCATCAACCATCTAGAACCAGGCAGCAGGCCATAGTTTTCCAACCTCTGAGCTTGAACCCTCAGATGACTTTCCTGGGAAGATGAGACAGCCTCATCCTGGCAGAAGGCCCTACCCGGCTTGGGCAGAGCCACACACCACTCTCCGGCCCCCGAGTTCGGAGTTCTCATGACGGAGGCTTCGTGGACAGAGAGGCCTAGGAAGGGCATCCCAGGAAAAACACTTGCTAAATAGGTTCTGACCAAGGCACGCTGGGCCATCCGGGACACTGGGCCGCACTGCACTCAGAACCACCAGCTGTGCAGGGCCTGCTGTCCCTACTGCTGTCCCACCTGCAGCAGACGCGGCTCTCTCCGCTTGCTTTACTCTGCACCCCGTGCAGCAGCGCACAGGAACGGGTGCTTCACGAGGGCTCCTGGACCCTAGAGGAACCTCTCTTTCTTCCCCACATCTACACACTGGGAACACAGTGGTGACTGCACTCGATTGAGGGAAAAAAGACCCAAATCTCAAGAGTGGCAATTACATTTCCAAGGAAAAATTACCACCTTTATTTTAAAAATGTACTCAGCATAATGAGGCACTGTTCTGACTCCCCTGGACCAGTAGCAACAACAATAAAAAGATAAAACCCAACACTAAAGAAGAAGGCTGAGGGCAAGCAGTGTCACCTAGGGCCGGGGATTTAGCTCAGTGGTTCCGGTGCCTGCCTCGAAAGCACAAGGTCCTGAGTTCGATCCCTGGTACCAAAAAAAAAAAATGTACGAACCACCTCCTCCCCAGTAAATTCCTTCCTTGGTGATTTATTCTAAGAAAAATAACTTTAAAAACAAAAACATGGGCTCACTACATCATGTATAATGTCAGAAGTCAGAGATAACCAAACGTCTAACAATAGACCAGTTAAGTAAATTAGCACTGTTAGATATAGTGTTCTAATAATGAGACAGAAAGGTCATGTGTCCACACGAAAAAAGGATGAGGTAACAGTAAAAAAAAAAGGATACAAAAGTACATGTATTTTAGATTAGCACTTCGTTAAAAATGTGCCTAAAATAAACAGAAGGCAACACAGAGAAATGAAGACAATTGTGTTAAGATGAGACAACTATGAGAGCTCAATTTCCTTTTTAAATCTCTTTTGGCATCATTTTAAGTGAGTTTTAAAAAGAAGAATAAAATGTCACCACCAGAAGCATAAAGTGGGCCAATCCACTCCTGGTTCTGAGCTTGGAGGTCACACATTCATCTGGACATGAGTCCTGCCTTCTGGGGGCCGACAGTCACAGGGAGGAATGAAGCGCACAAGCATGCATCCATCACCACCCACTCCAGAGCCAATGCTGCGGGAAAGGAAGCAACTGGGGAGGAGGGAGGGGAGAGAAGCCCAACAGCCTGTGCCTTAGGGGGAAACTTCCAAAATAGCATCTAGACCGCCCGGGCGGGAACAGGGTGGGCTCAGTCCACTCTGTGCCTGCTGTACCTGGGCACCACCCGGCCCTGTTCTGCCCTCTATACCACTGCTCCAAGGAGACAAGATCCATAAAACTCCAGGGTTACAAGTGAGCTTCAGTGATACAGCTATCACTGACCACTCTACTGAGAGCAGACAAGCAACAGCCATCAAAATCACAAATGCACATTTCCCTCAAGTCAACAATTCTGCTTCCACAGGTATGCGCCCCACAGGGGCAGGACGACCTCTGCACACAGAAGGCTGCTCCCTGCAATACTGACTGTGATAACGAATAACTGAAAACAACCTATCTATCTTTATGGGTGCCTATGCAATCACAGGCCCTCCTGTATAACGGGACAGCCACTCCAAAGCACAGAAGGATCTCTAAGGTGTTCTATTAACTGGAAACAAGGAACAGGATCACGTAGGAATGTGCATATTGGACTTCTCTACCACTTTCCTCAGCATACACGCAAGTTCTAGCTTGTATATTCATGGATCACCTCCGGAAAGGCGCAAAAGCAAATGCTAACAGTGAATGTTTCAAGGAAGAGAGTGCTGGCTTTCATCACATGCCCCTTGCTACCTCTTTTGGGTTTTTGTTACCATGGGCAAGTATTACATAGTCAAACTTCAGGCGATTATTTTTAAAGGAAGGATGCTTGGCCTGGGAGCTCAGGCCATCTGTCCAGCCAGTGCCCCAGGGTTTGGGGCACTCAGGGGTCAGGTGACGGGTTCTGAGCTCCGGCAGCACAGCAGCTGCAGAGCTGGCTCCTGGGAAGGCCTGGTCCCCTCACTCTGCCCGGACCCCGTTCCTCACCTGAGCCACTGTAGTCAGAGTCTCCGTTCACACCTTCCAGGAAGGGCACTCGGGATAGGGCAGGCTTCCCACGGCTGCGCTTGGGAGGTGTCAGACTGCTGCACACAGAGCAGGGGGAGAGGGGTCAAAGGAGGAGTTCCAGCGACCGACTCGACACTCATGGTTTCCCATCTCAGGTACGAAAAGCAAAAAAGCCCTCAGAGAGGCCAGGTATGTCGGCTCACACCTGTAATCCCAGCACTCGGGAAGTTGAGGCAGGAGGATTGCTGTGAGTTTGAGGCCAGCTTGGGCTGCACAGTGAGACCTTATCTCAAAAAAAAAATCTCAGGGAGGATGGTTTCTCAACTTGCCCCCATCTCACACTAAGCCACGACATACTTCCCACCTGGAAGGTCCTTGTCAGAGAAGGTCACCCCCGTAATTTGTCAATGCTTCCAGAAGCTCACGAGGAGTGGCTGTTATGGCTTCCATATAGATGTCCCCTAAATCCTTATGCACTTAAAGGTGGGGTTTTGGGGGTGACTAGGTCATGGGTGTGTGATGCTGGATTCACCCAATAACTGGTTCAGCATAGCTGTGTGTGTGACTGAAGGTGTTTAGTGAAGATGGAAGACCCACCCTGGGTGTGAGTGGCACCAACCAATAGGCTTGTAGCCTGGATGGAATAAAAAGGGTAAGAAGGAGGGCTGGCTGCTTCCGGTCTGCCACACAGGAACTGTTTCTCCTCTGCCAGGCCACCCTGCCTGGGAGCCAGCCAACCATGGACTAAAACCTCTGTGAACCGAGACGAAATAAACTTGCAGGTGTCGGGTATTTTGTCCCAGCAATCAGAAAGTAATTAAGACAAGTAGCCATATCGTATGTCCCCAAAACTCCTTACTCTGTGGTTCACATGCTGTTCTTTAAAAAGCATTTTATTTTTGAGGTATAAAAATTTGCCTCTTTCCCAAATTTTCTATAATGGACATGTCATACTTCCAGAATTAGAAAAGACATTTTTAAATTGAAAAAACAAAAAATCAACTTTTCATTTCCAAATGGTTTATGTGTGAAGTTTTTCTTGGACAGAGATGGCTTTTTTTTTAAACTAAAAAGTACACTTGGGACCAGGGATTTAGCTCAGTGGTTTCGCCGCCTGCTACGCAAGCGCAAAGAACCGAGTTCGATCCCTGGTACCAAAAAAAAGTACACCCAATTTTTTGTTAACATGGCTACAGCAGAGGTAAAATATATACTAGACAAAGACTAGAAAGGAATAAACAAATCTGTGAATAGCAATACCAGAGCAATGATATAACTGAGGCCACCCAGCCCAACCATCTGTGTAGCTCTGTGCACAATTCTAACGCACAACCAAGTCGAGAGCTCCTGGGCCAGAAGGATGTGGCAAGGGCCAGCTTTTTGCTACTCAAACGTTACATAGTATTACTGCTATATACCTTTTTCAACTAAAAAAAAGGCTTAGACAGTAAGTTAACAATCTGTATAAAAGTAGAAAATGCTTAGAAAGCCCTGAGTTGGGTTAAGCAGCAGGCAGGGTAGGAATGGGTGGAGAGTGGGATATTCTGTTTCACTGGGTCAGAACTCCCTTATCATTATAGTTAGAAAACTCTATGGCCGGGCATGGTGGTGCATCCTGTAATCCCAACATTCTGGGAGGCTGAGGCAGGAAAATCACAAGCTTGAGCCCAGTTTGGGCAATTCAGAGACTTAGTAAGACCCTATCTCAAAATAAAAAATTTAAGAAGGGCTGGGGATATAGCTCAGTGTAAAGGCTGTGGGTTCAATCCTCAGTACTGAGGAAGAGGGGAAAAAAATGAAAAGGAAAAATTTGCTTAATCCAAACCCATGAATCATAATCCTTCAGTAAACAGAGGTCAGGTTGGAAATCTTGTTCTTATTAGTCAAAATCCGCTGAGAGACTTTGAGGTTACATACAGATGTAAGGTGCTAGTAATTTTATTAGGAAGGCCTCTCAAAGTTCATCCTGAATCTGGGAAAACACCTCCAAATACAACAGAAAAGAGCACAGCAAAGTGGTCAAGAGATTAAACTCTGGAGCCAGACTACCTGGGTTGAAAACCCAGCCCCTCTGCTCATTGGTTCTGTGACCCTGAGTAAGCAACTTACCTTCTCTGAGGTTTGTGCTCCCCAGTGTTGTGGGGAGTTAATGAATCAATGCACGTGAAGTACTCAGTACAGCACCCACCCAGTACTCAGAGAACGGCAGTGGCAATTATTACGTGAAGGGCAGTAATTTCTAATGCCTCATTTAGAGTGATGTTGTACTACAGAGCAACGAGCTCTGAGAAGGTGAGCTCAATAAAATACAACACAATATCCCAAATGCCTGTGTTTCCAATCCACAGGAAAAACACCACTGAGTCAATCCTGACCTGCATGTCAGGCCCCTGCCCAAGTGACTCAGGCCCAGGCAGGCTGCCCCGTCTGTAATTATCTTGTTTGCTGGTTTAACTTCCAACCCCTCAAAACTCCATGCGAGCAGAGGCCTTATCATTGCTCAGAAGAGCTTCTAGCGCAGTGAGGGCAGTCATCAGCAGTTACAGGATTGACCCACAGGAGGAGAGTGCAGCTCTGACTTGCTCAGAAAACCATCGGAAAAGACCAACCAAGGGGCAGGCTGGGAAGAGGGAGTGGGCCTGGGTTTGACCCAAGGTTTCTAATTCTGGGATGACAAGGTTTCAGTCTAATGAGCAATTTTCCTTTATGTTCTTACTATGATAGAAGAGGGAAAAGACAGAGGAGAAAAAACACTGCTGTTCGGTCCTTGAATCTCATTCTGAATCCTGAAATTCCACTGAGAACCACTGAGCTGAAGGAGAAATGCCTTCCAAGGGCACGGTTCCCACACCAAGCAGGGGCCCGGTGGCATCAGCGGCACTGAGTTCTGCAGAAGGGAAATACCCCGGAATCGGCGGGTTAGCCTCAGCCTGTCCTCATCATACACAGCAGAAGGGTCCTCGTGGAGGCAGACCTTCAATCAAGGGGCAGAGGGACAACTGGATGACCTTGCTCCTACTCCAACCCCGACAGACTGGGTTTCCAGACACCTTCTCGCTGAAGGAAGCCAGAAACTCCAACCCAGAACCAGACCTAAGGCATCTTCTAAGATTCTGAACTCTCACTTCTGTCCCGTGTCTGATAATGGTGTTTTTTCTCCATCTACTTCCTGTGTCTCTCTGAAGGCTTCAACAGGGGGAGGTGGGGGGAGAGGGAGAGAGAGGGAGAGGGGAAGCGGGGAGGAGGAGAGAAGGAGAGAGAGAAGGGGAGGGAGAGTGTGTGCTAGGGCAATTTTGAGGCTCTGTGGGGAGAAAAATCTCAAAGGAACAGAAGCAAAGAATCAGTCTAGGCCAGGGTTTAGCCAGCGGTCCCATAACCCCAAATGGAGCCCAGTGGCCAGGGCAGGGCTCACTAAACCGCCATGTAAGCGCCCAACACTGACAGGTAGTCTTTTGGTGCTGCCAGGAACTGTCCTCCCACCTTGGCTCCCAGCGACCATGACATGAGCCTTCAGGCAGGACTGGTCATTTTTCCTCTGTGGACTGAGCCTCTCTCATTTCCAAGAGTCCCACTCTCCCTGAGGTCTTGCTGAACACAGAACACAGAGCAGGGGCTCACTAAACTTCTGGACTTGGAAGAAACTCTAAGGTTCTAGTCTCAGAAATCCTCCCTACTGGTTAAAGAATGATAAAAGAAACCCACCCCTTCTCAGCTCAAGGATGGGAGACGAGCTGGGGCTTTTGTCTGAGCAAGAGGCAACCCCGAAGTACTCTGCACTCATTCCTCATTTCCACGCCACACCCCAAGAGCCCACTGCTTTGAAACTCCAAGAGGCCTGGGACAAAACCAGCGGGGTGATGCAAGTAAGAGGGAGTAGGTGATGGGGCCGGGGATTTAGCTCAGTGGTTCCACCACCTGCCTCGAAAGCGCAAGGACCCGAGTTCGATCCCCGGTACCAAAAAAAAAAAAAGAGTGGGTAGGTGGGGTGCTTCAAGAGTTAACTTTCCCGCCAAAGGAGATTCAGCCAAGCCCCGCCCTCCAGAGCCCAACTTCAGCCTACTAGCCATGCAGAACAACAGCACAGCTCCTGTTAGCAGGAGCAGACCTGGGAGACAAGGGTCACCCAGTTTCCTAGGGGACCCCAGGTATAGACCAGAAGCCTCAGGAAGTAGCAGGGTGAGAACCAAGCTAAGAAGGAAGACGCTTGGTGAGGGAGAGGTGGTGACTGCTGACAAAGCTTTGAGTACAAGGGTCCTTACCTGCAGGCGTCGAATGCCAGGCCGCCACTGAGACCCAAGCTACATTCTGAGTCAGACCCACTTTCCGTGTGCTTTCCAAAGCCGTTGGTCACACCTGCCAAGGACACACAGTGTGAGCCTGTGCACAGTTCGAGCAGGGCGCAGGCCGAGGAGCTGTTCCTGCCCTTGAGAAGCGGGTGGAGGAGGGAAGCGGACAGAGACAAGGTGGGGGAGCACTGCTGGCTCCAGCCATGAGCAGACACTCCATTGCCCTTCCCAGCTTTTTACTAGTTCGGCTGACTCTGGCTCCTGGCATTTGGCTACAGAGGAAAATACTGAGGCTTCCTCACCCTCGGACTCAAAAGTCCCCGATCTGCTTCTAATGTGAAACCCTGCTCAATTACCAGGGAGTCTCCGCCAGGGGAGGAGCCCACGGGCCTTGCCTGTTCAGATAAGCACTACTGAACAGCTGGGAACAGCTGGCCCCATTCTCTGGGGATGGTGTCAGGAGAGGCTGGGGCACGATAGGGGCTCCGTGCGGACCACACCCGGGCCACCTCAGGGTGGCAGTCCGAGCCGAGGATGGCGTGCTTTTCAGGAGAGCCAGAGCAGCTGGGCATCCCCAGGACAGGGAGTTGGAACCCGGTTCTAGACTGGGCCTTGAAATACTGGTCCCTTTTCTGCACTAAGCCTTGGCTTCTTTTGCCTCTGTCCTTGTGGACGATGCCATGCAGCGTGAGCGAGAGAGTCTGTTTACACAGGAGCCTCCTGAGTCGGGTGAGCCGGCCAACCTGGGACACGACCTTTCTGCGTCCCGCGTCCCGAGTCCCACACTCCTGGGCCTGGTGCCCGATGGAGAGCCTAACAGGCACCTTGACCTTTGCACCACTGGCTGCAGAGTCAGTCACACCTGGGAGAGCAGGCATCAGCGCCCAGCTGCCGTGCCAGACCGGGCCTGGCCTCTCGCATTGTGACCTCGATTTAGACCACTAAAGCTGCTGGGCCTCCCTGCCTGGCCTGGAAAAAATCTACACTTGTTTTTGTGAGTCAGCTAAGGTTGTGTGGAAGTGTTCCTGGGTGACGGCAGGGAGGAGCAGGTTCCCGCAGGACCCCAGGCGGCAGCGCCCTCGGGCAGGATGGGCCTGCTGGCCACACTCAGCTCCCAACAGAGGAGCTTGCATTTTTAGCTGTCTGGCTCAGGCAGATATTGTGGAGAGGACGACAATAACTGCTATATGCCGAGGGCTTGGTAGAGACCGCTTCCCATTCCTTAGAGCCCTACAAGGTAGCTACTGCTAGTTTCATATCAGAAATGAGGAAACAAGCTCAGAGCAGCGAATTACTTTTCTCCAGGTTACACAGCTCAGAAGAAGTTGCAGTCTGAACTTAGCCCCAGGCCTCAAGCTCTTGCCTCTCTATCCACCGACCTTCTGGCCTCACAGAGGCAAGTTTGGGCCAGATGGGAAGGGAATGCACTGTCGAGGTACAAAGCAAAAAAAAGCACGTGCTGGACACATAAAAGCATGTGACAGAAACATGAGGTGCTCCCAGCACTCGGGAGGCTGAGGCAGGGAGATCGCTGTGAGTTCGAGGCCAGCCTGAACTGACAGTGAGATCCTAACCCCCAAAAAGAGAAAGAAAAACACGAGGAGTAAGAGCCAACAGTAACCCATCCCAGCCAAGCAAGCTGACCTTCCCTATCCCGGCAAGACTAACTCCTCTGCCTGGCACTTGCTTCCCCCATGGAGCCCTGAGAGCCCGACTCACCCACGCAGCATGGCTCAAGGCTGGCACCCCCAATTCCTCTGGCCAGCTCACCCCTCCTTGGGAAGCCTTCCCAGCCCCTTCAGCTCAGGTTCCCTGAACAGCTCCTGCAGTGTGTGGAGATTTCTCTGGGCCATGTGAGACAACCTTGTTTCCCTACTAGATGTGCCGCTTCCGGAGCTGGAGCTGAATCAGACTTACTTTGAGTCCCAGATCCCCAGTGACCAGCTTGGGCTGGACATGGAAGTCCAGACCCCGTTACCCACTCACCTGCTCCCACCACCTCTACACCTGGCCACAATACACTGGGTCCCTTGCTGCTCCTTGGACGGCAGGCTCGATCCCACCCCCAGGGCTGCAGCTTGCTAATCTATCTTCTTGCAGTATATGCCCCCCTAGATACACAAACCGCTCATGCCTTCAGCTCCTTCAGATCTTGATTCAAAGGTCACCTCCCTGATCACCCCAGCACACCCTATTCCCCCCTTCCTGCTGGATTTTTCTCCAAAGCTACTAATATAAAATATTTCATTGGGCCAGGGATTTAGCTCAGTGGTTCTGCTGCCCGTCTCACAAACGCAAGGTCCCAAGTTTGATCCCCGGTACCAAAAAAACAAACAAAATATTTCATTTGCTTTAGGTCTAGTTCCCCTCTAAGAGAGATTTTTGCCTGTTTTGTTCACTGCACCTAAGATAATACCTGATGTAAGTATCTGACGAATGAACTAAAATGAAGGTAGGAACCGTGTCATCACATACAACCTACATCCCCTCAGAAGCCAAAAGGGCCACGGACACACCCCGGGCGCTGAAAGCACCCACTTCCCCTGCTTCCCCAGGCCATGGCTCATGTGCCAGGCCCAAATGCAAGCTACAGACCCCCCAATGCTACCACTGGCACCCCCGGAGGCCACTAGGGAGGTGGCCCACTGGGGAAGGCGCCGGCTGGCAAGGCAAAGCGGAAAAGCAGATGAGAAGTAGCGAGAGAAGTACAGGCAGGGTCACCTGTCTCTTCCTCCTGCTGTGGGGACCTCTCCCCCTCGCTCTCACTACCGCTCCTGCTCCTCGGCCGCTTCCGGGAATGGTGCTCATCCTCAGTGCTGGCAGGAGAGGCCGGAGAGCCCGCCGAACCGTGGTCCTCGCCGTTCTCCAAGGCCCTGTCCGGGCTCCTCTGGAGCTTGACCCCATTCTTGGCCTTCCTGAACAGAACCGATGTGCGACGCCCCACGCCACTGAGTGGGGCATCGGCAAGGCTGTCGGGGGCCATCAGAGACAGTCTGTTGCTGCTGTTGTCACTGAGCAAGTGTTGCAAGGGCTCGCTCCCTAGCTGCAGAGGTGATTTCTCCAAGAGCTCATCTTCTTCTACTTTTCTGGGCTTTAGGAATCGGCTTGGAGGTTTGCTATCACTGATGGGTTTCAGGGTGGGGGGATCCGGGGGGGATTCTTGCTCAGACAAAGACGGTGCAGGCCCAGTGGGCTCTAGGGTTGGTGGGGGAGGCAGTTTGGAGTCATCTGTTAGAGAAAAAGAGAGCCTGCTTGAACATTTTAGAAGGAGTCTGCCCTCACAAGCCAGATACCGACACTGAGAACCACAGACTGAAAGCGTGGGCTGCCTTATGGCTCGGGACGCAGCTCAGGTCTTTGACATAAGGCGAAGAGAAAGTAAGGTGAAGTTTCACCTGCACTGAGAAGTATTTCTCCACTCTAGTTATATATGAGAACCACCTAGGAAGCTACCGAAAAATCCTAATGCTTACAGAGACCCAGACCAACTGAAACTAAATACCAAGCGAGTCTAATGAAGTGAAGGTCACAAACCATCACTCTACACCTGAGAAAGCCACCTGCTTCATGGATAACTGGCTATATCTCAGCTCGGCAGATGAGTGGCCCACGATTCTCACTGCACTCGAGTGTCTTCTCATCTGCCATCGATTTTGTTTCACATTACCCAAGTGAGAGTAAGTAAAGAGGGGAGGAAGAATAAATGCACAGACTTGGAAAACTGAGACCCAATCGGTTTAAATTAATGGTGCTCCAACCTGTCTGCCTGCCCAACTCCTTGAAACTTTAAAGAACTGAGACTTCCAAAACACAGCCCAGGCCACCCCATCTGAATCTCTGAGAAGTGAGACAGGAAATCCCGAGGGCAGCGGTGGCAAACCTATGGCACATGTGCCACAGGAGGCTGTTTCTACCACCAAAAGCTCTGAAAGGTTCACCATCACCGCCCTAGGGGTGCTGTTGACAGCTGGTCCACTGGGCATGGCTGCCCTGCAGCCTACAAGTGGGACACAAACAGCATGTTGGCTGCCACATGGCAAGCTGGGAAGAGTCACAGATAGACACAAAGCCTCCAATGCCAAATGTAAGCCAAGTACCCACCCATTCCCTGCCAATCTAAAACAAAATGGACCACTTCCTGCAATTTGGACCCCTGCCTACCAGAAATAACTCCCAAGCTTTGGGACTGTGTGGGTGACAAGCCCTTCTAAGGCCTAGGCTCAGATCCAAAGGCAGGGACAAGGGTGACAATTCCGTCCTCAGAGAAGGATGCGAACAGCTCAGCTGAAAGGCTCCTGGATTTCTGGGGATCATGTCCCCAGCCACTCTTGCAGCCCGGCCTCTCTGCCTGTACTCGGCCAGCTGAGGTCAAAATCATGAGGCAGCTCCAGCATCCAGGCCATGTGTAGGGTCTTTTCCTCCCTGCTGAACCTCGGCGCCCCAACCTAACCTGCTCTAAGGGCCTACTCTCTCCATGGTGGTAGAAAGCAGGCTGATATTTAACTGGAATGCTCAACACAGCTACATCAGGTGCAAAATACTGTAAGATTTCATTAAGTGACTAGTAAACAGCTGTTGGGCTCTGGCACCTGAAACTCCCTGAACTCCCCACCATTCAGCAACTAAACATTCCCATCAGGGGCCATCGGGTGCCCAGTCTCCTATAACAGCCAACTTCTACTCTGACAGATACATTTTGTTCTCTTACTGATTACTATATGTTCTTAATATCATCCCCTAAGCATGATATAGAAGGGTGACTCTTCCAAGGGCTTCCAAGCCCCCTCAATGTGGGGAAGGGCACTCCCAGGAAACCTCGGCCTGGCCTCTCTCCCCCCACCTCCCCGGCATCCTGCCACCCATGCCTCTCTCTTACCTCTGTCCCCATCATCTTCCAGCTCCTCCTGCAGGACCTGCTCCAGCACAGCTGCATCCCCCCGGGGCCCTGCGGGCAGCTCTCCATTGGACACAGTCTTAGTCAGTGAGGGTGGCTGTGGTAGTGGCAGCGGCTGTGCCAGCTTCTGCCGAAGGGTGTTGATCTCCCGGCGCAGCAGGCGGACGCGGCGGGTGCGGGCCCCGCTGGACCGCATGGCACTCACCACATCCAGTTTCTCCAGCAGCTCCTTCAGCTGCACCTCTGGGGACAAATGGGCCCGGTTCTCTGGGATGAGGATGTTGTCCACTGCCAGGGAGAAGGAAGGACAGAAGGGGCTGAAGGACCTGTCCAGCCCAAGGCAAGGGAAAGGGACTGAGTCCTTCGGATGCAAAAGACTCTCCTGGAATGCCCGCCCAGTGGCTTCCAGCAGCATCACTGCGGGTCCTTGGCCCTGTGACACCACTTTCCAGAAGGCAGCCATGGGGGAACAAGGTCAGAGTGTGGGAAACATCTGCAGGAAGCAGTTGACAGTCGCGATTAGGGTTCCATGGAGCAGGCATGAGAAGCTTGGCAACCCCGGCCTGAGTGACTGCTTTGCTGCTGCCGTGGAAAAGCAGAGAGTGGGGCAGGCAGTGTGGGCTTGGAGGCAAGTCGGTGTTTCTGCTCCTCTGCCTGCACTCTTCTGAATGAGGCCCACGCACACCAGCATTGTACTCCCCCTGCCCCACGCTCCAGGCCACACTGAGGGGATCCAGGAGAGGAAGACCCCTTAGCTTTCTTAGACGGCAGCACCTGACTCCCCTTTCCTACCACTCAAAGTACTCAGTAGCCTGGCTCCACTTTAACCTTGGAACTACCCCAGCCACAGGCCGACAGACCCCAGTCTGTGCCTACCGGCTTCCGGAGTCCGCGGCCTACCCCTCGTCCCTGGCTCTCTGGGCTCTGTCCCTGTGCTTTTTCCTGGTCCCTCTCCTCCCACCCGTCCAGACTTCTCACCGTCTTCCCAGGAGAAGCGGTAAAAGTCTTCTAATTTGGGTGATTCCGGCAGGTGGGTGCCCCTCTCGGGGTCATAGCCGACGTTCTCTGCCTGCCGCCGGGCGTGCCGTAGGATGGCCCCTCCCAGGTCCCGCAAGCGGACAGCTGCTCGGTGGAAAATTGTGTCTTTAGCATTATACTTCATGCAGTTGGTAACTATAAGGTTAAAGTCCTCCTCAAACTCCTCCAAGGTGCAGTACAGGTGGGACTCCAGCTTCCGCCTCATAGTAGAAAAATCCATTGGCTTGGATATGAATTCCAGGTAATCTGGAACCTAAACATATAACACCTGTACAATTACAACAACCATTTACTAGCCAAACAAGCGCACCCTTCTCCGGCACTCTTGGCCTCCCACTCCCAGGTGTTGCCATGCTCGCCTCACTCGCAGCCTTGGGGTCTTGGCCCACACAGCCTCCTGGTGCCCCTCACCTCAGCCAGCTCTCCTGGCCTCGCTGGACACCACACCCACTCAGTTCTGTGCTCCCCATGGCCCACCCCCTCCTGGCCTCCAATGACTCTGTTTCTAGTTCAGGGGGTACCCCTTGGGAATTCAGGGGAACTTGCCTCACTCAGGTTGACAGGTTCCGCAAAGATGTGTGCAGGATCCTTCTCCTGCAGCAGGTCCAGGGTGGTCCTCAGCAGCACATTGAAGGGCATCAGCTCCAGCTCCATGGCGGCCTGCTGGACCTTGACCTGGGGGGAGGCGGGAGGTGACCAGGGCATCCCTGCTACAGGCCACTGAAAGTCCTTCTCCAGAACTTGACTGCCATCAATCATGGTCACAAATTTCCACAGGGTACTGAGCTGACTGCCACGGGAGCTCTCACCCACCCGCAGCCCGCAGCTGAGACAGAGGAGGTAGCAGCGCCATGACATGCCCCAGCCCTGGGCGGAGTCTCCACACCAGGCCCAAAGCTGCTCAGGGAGTGCTGGGGGCTCCGCTGTCCAGTCCGGCTGGGGAGGCCTGTTCCCCACCCTCCTGCTGTCTCACCGGAGGCCATGCAGCACAAGGGCCCTCCCCTGATCTGGACTTGGACTCTCCGGCCGGCCTCCAGGATCATGGGCCATTTTAAGTAAAGCTCTTCTCTTTACAAATTACTCAGTCTGTGATATTTACCAAGAGAAGCAAGAGAAGACAAACAAAAACAGCTGCCATTTTGTGACTGCTTTCTAGGTATCAAGCCTCATACCAAGACTTATTAACACTGCCATAATCCATACTAAGTATCAGGTAATGTTTTAACCACTTTATGTAATACAAGTGAATGTTTGAAGCAGGTACAGATGAGGTATTTTAAAAAGAAGAAGCACAAAGAGGCACAGAGAGACTAAGCAACTGGCCGAAGGTCACACAGCTAATAAGGGGCAGAGGTCAGATTCAGTCCCAGAGGCCCTGGCTCCATGAATGCTCTTTTTTTTTTTTTTGGTACTGGGGATCGAACTCAGGTCCTTGTGCTTGCATAGCAGGCAGCGAATCCATGAATGCTCTTAATCGATATATCACAGTGTTTCTCTACTTGTTTTACCTCAGGTGACCACCACAATAGCTCTGAAAGAGAAATTACTAGCCCATTTTACAAATATGGAACCTGCCATTTAGAAAACGATGGCGTTCCCGTCTAAGGTCACCTGGCTAGGAAATACAGACAGCATTTGAACCTGACTGACTGAGGTCTGACTCAGACAAGGAGCATACAGATAAAGTCAAATGTGCCTTGGTCAGAATCTCCCATAAGGGGCTCTGAGACCCTGGTCCCATCAGCACACAGAGGGCCTGGCTCAGCCTATGGTGACCAGAGCCCCTGACAGCCTCACGTTTACGGTGGTTGCTGGTTAGATGTTACTCTCCATGTGTGCCTGCATGAGAAACAGCTGGGAAACCGTGAATTAGACTACAAAAAGTTCCTGCTTCGAGGCCACATCAAAACAAGCCGGCCAGGGATTTAGCTCAGTGGTTCCACTGCCTCGAAAGCGCAAGGTCCTGAGTTTGATCCCCGGTACCGAAAAAAAAAAAAAAAAAAAGAACCAGAGACAGGAGGAGAAGTTGGCTATGGGTCCAGGCCTGTGGTGGCACTGACTCTGAACCTAGGAGAAGGTCACAGGATGCCTTTGATGGCACCCACACTAAGTATGATTGAGGGCTGCCCACGACTGGAGGTGGATACTCAAGGCTCTCAACCTGCTGGAGAAGGACTTGGGTTAGAGCTGAACAGTGATACAGGGATGGAAAAAGAGAAAAAGGAACATTTTTAACCCAGGCCTCTGGAGCATGTGAGTAACAGCTGCTATTCCTGGACCAAAGAGAACAGTTCTGGTGCCATCCATTCAGTTAATAGTACTCGCTCTCTGTCATGTGCAGAGCACTACAACAAACACCAAGAACCTCAGTGGAAACAATAATGACAGCAACTGACCACCCGCCACTGTCCGGCGCTCTTTCTCCTTACACAGAGTCATCTAATCTTCACAAACGAAGGCCTTCATTAGCCCCGGATTACAGATGGGGATATGGAGGCATCAAGAGATCATCAGTTCCCAAGCTCGGGGGCAGAGAACCTCCCTGAACTGAGGTTAGACACTTCAAATGATTTAAGACCGGAAGTGTCTAAGGGCCATGTGAGAACCCTCAGGAGCTCCCGGGCCACAGCTTCTCAAACAGCAATGCCCATTAGAACAGCCTAAGAAGCTCTGCAAGACACTCAAGGCTACCTCCCCTGGAAACTTTCTCAATCAGAAACCCTAGGAACGGGTGCAGGCTTAGGGTATCAAGCTTATGCTGAACCACAAAACCACACCTACGGAGGAGTGGGCAGACCTTGAAGCCTGTAGAGCTGGGCAGAAAAGGGGAAAGAAAGCTGGCACCAGGCAGGGGCTCCTGGGTCTCCACACGAAGAGTGGGAGAAAATGACCTTGAACAAGAGCCCGGGGGCGGGGGCTGCTCCTTACCTGCTCCCGCTTGAGCTTTTCTCTCTTCCGAATCAGCTCAATCAGCAGCCGCGCCCGCTCCAAGTCATGCCGGAGCTTCTGCCAGTATTTCAGCTCTTCCTTCACTGCACTCGTCTTCTCGTCTTGCTCTCGCTGCAGGAGGCCAGAGAAGGAGGAGCTAGGAGCCTCCGTCCTGCTCAAAGTCCTCTCCCTGTTCCAGCCTCAGCCAGCTTCTGCAGCTAGGAATCCTATCTCCTTCCTTGACCCAGGCTCTCTCACCCACGCCCTCTACTCCCCGGCCCTTCCTCTAGCCTGTCTCATGGCTTGTAACATTTCTTCACTGCAACACAGCAAGGCTGCTGGAGAGGGGCTGGGACTCCTTCCACCTACCTCCCAGGACACCCGGCTCCTCTGTGGCCCCAGGGCTGCAGGGGATTTCAGAGGAAAACTAATAGACACCTCAGGGGTGGAAAGAATCTTACCCTAGAGCTTTGACTTGGCTACAAAACAAAGCAATTGTTTTTTCTATTAACTTGTACTATGCGCTCGAACATACTTTGGTAAAAACAACAAAAAGCTGTGGATGCTGTCCTAGAAGAGTTGTCATCGGGAGAAGGAAGCCCCAGGGTATGAAATACAAGCACCTATTAGAATAATAACATAAAAACTGATCATGTAAACGGAATGTAAAATGATGAGAGGATACAAAATAGAGAAAGGGCTTGAGTAGGCAATGCTTCCAGGGGAAAGCAATCTCCGGAGAGTGGAGATCCACTGTCTACAACGGTAGACACGAATAGGCAAAAGCAAGAAGCAAGGCCTCTTCTCGAACTAACAGGCCAAGATGGGCAGAAACGCGGACGCAGAATTAATGGGTCTGCTTAGTGAGCAAAATGGGCTGGCCAGAGCAGAGAAGCTGGACAGCTACGAAAGCCACAAAGCCCCAGGATCCGGCTGGTAACAAGCCTCAAATGCCAGGCAAAAGAGTCTGGACTCAGCCTGCCTGGAGCGGAAGAGTAAATTCTGGAAAAGGAAACGACAGACAGTACCAGCTGCAGAACAAAGAAAGAATTAGAAGCCGATGATCACCTAGAACTCTACTGCTGAGATTCCGGGGCCCTGGGGAGGCTGGGTAGCTGCAGAATGGAACAAAGGACCATACTGATAAATCCCTCAAAACAGCCTGGGGATGATTAACTGTGACCCATTACGGGGAGGAAGAATCAAAAGCCACTCCCAGGTGGGGACCCCTTGATAAGAGGTTGGAAGGGAGAAGGGTCTGCCAAAAGAATAGGGGAGAGTTTACTAAGAGTAAGATAATGGATTCGGGTTTCAGGACCCAGTTAAAGGTAACAGCATCCACATGGAAATAACCCAGAGGGACAGAAGGCAGAAAAAAGGCTAAGAACAAAACCAGGAGCTATCGCTACACAGTTATATTCAATTATGACAGCGGCCATGTTTTCCAAGCAAATGAGCAGGCAGTGAAGCTGTAGGGAATGTTCAAAGAGCAAGAAGTAGGATCAGCCCAGCCCAGGGTGCACTCATGGGGACAAAAGTGGGAAATGGTGTCACACAGAAGCTCTTAGTCTCGGTGACAGGTAACGTCAACTGTACCTGGACACTCAATATGGTGACAATCTGAGGAAAGACGTGCTGGGAGGAGGTCGCTGATGTTTTAGGGGAGGCTTCAGGAAGGCACATGGACCAGAAGGTTCAAGGGGGACCAGATAAAGGTCTGCCCTTCGGAAGCTTAGTTACAAAAGCAAAGGCAATTTGAGATGGAATGTTCAAGGCACCGAGTCTCGTAAAGGCTCACTTCTTCTCTGGAGCAGCAGTGTGGACAGATTTAAAGACAAGTAACGCAGCAGGTGAAGGAGGACAGAGAACTGAAGATATGAAAAACAGAAGGGAGCGCCGGGGATTTAGCTCAGTGGTTCCACCGCCTGCCACGCAAGCGCAAGGACCTGAGTTCGATCCCTGGCACCAAAAAAAAAAAGAAAAATAGAAGGGAAATTAGGAACAAAAAACATTAAACATACAGCAACTCCAGATGCTAATGGCCACCACAACTGGACAGGCTGTGCCTCACGACTAAGATCATAAATTTGTGTATTTACTATGACACAGTTTTTGGCAGATGGCAGTTTAGTGTCTTGAGAAAAGAGAGTTGTTTTTTTTTTTCTAATACACGCAGTGTAGCAGCCCAGGTCTTTGGCCTTTCTGCCATATCTGGAGCAATTTCCCTCTACACAGGGAAGCTGGGCTGGCTCTCCATTTGAGCCCAGGACTGCTCCTCAGTCAAGCCTCCCACCCAGAAAGGGCTGCTACCGGCTCTGAAGACCTCTGTAGTGGTGGAGGTTGTTCCTGGGATGGGTCACCCAGAGAGAGGGGTGGCCCCCTATAGGCAAAGGTTCTGCAGAGGGCTTGGGGACAGGTGGCAGCCCTGCCTCCTCCTCTACTCTCCACCTCCCTCCACCAGCCTCCGCTCACCACTGCACCTACCTGCTCAGCGTTTCTCTGGGACTGCAAGTGGGAATGTAGGCGCCGGATGAGAGGAACGCCATTCCGCGCCTGCCGCTTCAACAGCCAGTAGTTGTGAAGCCGCTGCATGAACTGGTTTTTCCTCTGAAAGGAGAGACCACTACAGATCTTGTTCAACCTTGAGTAGAGGCACAGGGAAGTGAAAGACAGGGTCAGTGGGCAGCCGAGATGACGGCCCATGCCTCCTATCCAGAGCCTGGTTCATTTCTGAACCCTACCCAGAGAAAGACAGAATAAAATGGCCAAACGCCTCACCTCAGAGAAAGCCTTGAAAAGGACAGCAAAGTTAAGCAGCTCAGATGCAGCAAGAGGTACTTCACTTGGTTTTCCACCTCCTATCTTGTAGCCCTGACCCTCCAGAAGAACCCTCTCCTAGAACCTCTGTTTCCTGTGGTCCTGGACCCCTTCATTCTATGAAACAAGCCTGCACTCCAACTCCCCCACCTTTCTCTTCATAAAGGCAGCAAAAGGTAACAGGAACTTGAGTAAGCTATGGAAAATGGGGCCACTATTTCCTGCCTCCTGTAGCTGACAATTCCCACCAAGGCGGGGGTGGGATTGGGGGGTGGCTTACAACCAGGCTGGAAAGAAAACATACATCAAATTATTGTTTTCTGATCCCAGATGCAACCCCTTACAGTTGTTTGACCTCTGGCTTTTCATCATAAAAATCTCAGCTGCTTAAAGATATTATCTAATTTGGATCCAAATTGAAAAAAAAAAAATGGATCTAAAGGTGTAAGAGAATGGAGGATCTGAAAACTTAGCCAAAAGAGAAGTCTTAGGGTCAGGGTTTAAGCTATTAAATAACACCTGGGGGATAGGGAAAAGGGTAAAAAAGGAATTAAGAGAGCACATAATCTCCATCCTAACACACATACTAAAAGAGGAGTATTATTCCTACATTGCAAAAGATGGGAAGACAGCTTAGGGTCAGTGATTCAATTACTTGTCAGAGCAATGAATGTAGCCAATAAGAGGGCAGGTTCTGAGCGGGATCTGAAATCTATGATTGCTCTGCTATGGTGCATCCCCACACTGGTTATCCACAGGGTAAGCCAGGCCTTAGGGCTCCTATGGTATTCCCTCTGCTTCTATCTCTTCCCCCAGTCCGCTGCTAATTTGCTAATTTGGCTAATCGAGACAGACAGGACCTGGGAAGGATGGGCACACTGGGCAGGACTCTCTTCACCTCTGGTCACACATTCCTGCCCCAAAGCCAAGCTTCCAAAATCAAGGCCTGGGCCTTTCCCCAAAGGACAGATCCCCATCCATACCCATGCCAAGCACACCTGCCCAGATGCAGGCAGCCCCCCTCCCACTATACCTCTTGGCCATGGAGGGTTCCGACAGCATTTGTGCAAGTAGGGAAAAGAATAATAATAAAAAAATAGCAGCAGCAGCAGCCACCATTTATTGAGCACTTACTATCTGCCAGCCACTGTGCTAAGTGCTTTATTTATACTCTCGCATTTATTTCTCACAATTCTATGTGAAGGGTTCATTCACAAGTCAACGACGGCTGAGAGCAGTTTGGATGACACAGTCCCAAGTGATAGGTCTGTCTGTCTGTTCTTGGCCAGCTCAGCCTGTCCCCAGGAGAGGGATCTAGAGGAGCAGACAGGACATCCAGACTCCACCCTGGGGCACAGCGACTGTACAGATGAGGACGAAGTGGAGACACAGCTCAGGAGAGAGGCAGCCAGAACAGCTCTGTGTCTAAAAGACACATTCAGAGTCACCAAAATTCTCATCTGAGCCACGGCACACAAGAGCCTCCCACGCTGGTCTCCCTGTCTTCTTCCCAGCCTGCACATCTGGCTTCCTACTCCCCACCCCTACAGCTGGTTCCCTGCCACCTTCCCGTACTCCTTTCTCCCTAACCTTCCCTGCAAGAGAGCCAGAGAGCAAGAGCATAGCCCAGAGAGGCAGCAGAAGCCTCAGCTGGGTCCAGGGCCTGTTACTTTCCACCTGGTCCCTACCCTTAGAACAGAATGTGGCATGTAGTAAGTGCTCGATAAATATCTCGTCGAATGAATAAAGGAGTAACTTTACCTCCTGTGGCCGTGGTTTCTTCATCTGGGGATGTGGGAGAAGGTGCAAGGACTACATTAGATGAACAATCGCCAACAGTGCTCCTGCTCTAACACTGCACACCTGCTAGGGAATCGCCCTTGAGATGACCTCTCCTGGAACATCTTCCCTGACTCTCGCCTCTGCCCAGCTCCCATCCCTCCATCAGCTCCACTTCCTTCACTGAGTTTGAAACAGGTACAATGATCTCTCTGCAGACTCAGCGGGGCCCAGGTGGCTTGGTTACCCAGCCCCTAAGTCTAAAGCTTTATCAAAGAAGGAATGAAACATTCTCCCCACACCACCACTCCCTCACACACAGTCCCTGTCATACACAGGACGGAGCTTGTTGGCAGATGTGTCAAGCCCCAGACAGGTGGTTCCTTATCAGGAATAGTTCTATCCCCCTGGGGCTTTCTGGGAACTATTTGGGAGTGTTTGTCATTGTCACAAAGATCAGCTAATGGGAGGGGAGGTAAGAAATGCATGGGACAGTTCTAGCAGATGAATTATCCTGTCCAAAATGCCACTTGGTGCCTTGCTGAAAAACACTGTCTGAGACATTTCTTTTTTGAGACAGTCTCACTAGTGGTTCAGACTGGCCTTGAACTCACTGTGTAGCCCAGACTGGCCTCAAACTAGTGGTGATCCTCCTGCCTCAGCCTCAGAATGTGGCTGCCTAAAATAGCTTGTCACCTGAGTTTCCAAGCAATTTAAATGTTTTGTTTCACCCTAAGCCAAAGGAAACACATTACCCTGCCGGCACTATCAAAATCACAAACAGGGCAGATAAGCCCAGGCTCCAAAAGAGACGTCTACATTTAGAGCACAGAAGGGTATAGATATCTATCAGCCACATTTGGGGAAGGGCCCAAACCTTCCCAGGGCCACAACCAAATGAAAAAGAAACTCTGAAGAGCCCTCCCGGGCAGGCCTCACCTGTGAGAGGGTATCTGTGACACAGTGACAGCAGGGACGGTGGAAGGTGTGTCTCGGCCTGCTTCCTCTGGCTCCTTCTTCATCTTTTGCTTCACCTTGTTCTTCTTGGGCCCTGCCTTGGGGGGGCTGCCCACTCCGCCTTGGCCTTCCTGCTCCTCTTCCGCCACTTCTCCCTCTTCTTCCTCCCCTCCCCCACCCTCCTTCAGCCCATCTTGGTCCCCTGCCTCGCTGAGGCTTCTGGGGGAGTCGCCCTTCCTCCTGGCAGTGGCGGTGCTGGGCGGGGAGTGGGCCGCACAGTAGGCGGTTTTGCGCACTGTGAAGATGGTGCCATTGAGGCTGGTCTCCCGCATGGGCTCGATCTTCATGAAGAGCCCAGCCCGCTGTGCGCATGTCACGTGGAAGGCTGTGTAGCAGTTCACTTTATGGCACTGGATGGCTGCGCCCAGCCCCTTCTGCTTGCAGATATAGCAGGTCAGCTTCCAGCGGGCGGGTGGGATGTTGTCGATGCCCTCGATAGGCTCCAGGAACACAGTGTTGGCGAAGCAGACTTCAGGGATCCAGATGGCACACACTACGTGGGCCCACTGCCCATCGCTGGTCTGTTTGAAGGCACCACCCTTATTGGGGCAGAGGACACAATCCACAGGCCGGGAGGGAGACTGCAGGCAGCAGCGGCACAGCCACTGGCCCTCGGGGATGTAGGGGACACCGTAGCATTCCTGGTGCACAGCCAGGTTGCAGATGTCACAGAAGAGGATGACGTTGCTGTTGTGGCACTCGTCGTCCAGGCAGACGCAGCAGAAGGCGTCCTCGTCAACGAGCGACTGCTGGGCCCCACTGCTGCGACTCTCCAGGTACGACTCCTTCTCCAGCCGGTCTACGAGGAGCTCGAAGGTGTCCGCTGACACTGAACTGTACCCATCTGCGCGCCGCTTCTCGTTCACCATGTCCAGCCAGGCCAGGTCCTCCTCATCCATGTCGTACTCCACCTCCGCGTCCAGGTCTTCAGGTGGCTTCTCGATGTAGCGGTAATAGGCGGCGGGCAGCGGAGGCGCTTCCGGCTGGCTGCCTGCATCCACCACGCGGAAGCTGGGCTGTGGGAGATGGAAGGAGGCGCCGGACGCATGCTTGGAGCAGGACTCCTTCTTTTTGCCCTTGGATGAGGGTTTCTTGGACTTGCCAGGGAACTGAGGCTGCTCACTGTTTTCCTTGTTACTGTTGCATTCGGTGATGTCCTGAGCAGTCAGCTCATCCTCAGTGATGATCTTGAGCGGGTCATAGATGCTGATACGGTGCAGGCGTCCATCAATGTCCACCTCGACAATCCGCTGGGCCTGGGCATACGTCAGCGTCTCTCGGGTCGGGGAGCACTTGAGACTGTAGGGGGATGGCGAACGCCGGCCCTCGGCATTCTGCCGCAACTTCCGGCGGGGCTTCCTCATGGCACCTGGGAAGCCAGGAGACAAGCCTGAGGGGTGAAAGCCAGGAGACTGAGCTGGACGCTCACATACGCCATATCTGCTCGCCATTCCATCTGACGGAATGGCCACAGAGGACGCCTGCTCCCTCAGCCTCCACAGCCTGCCCTCAGGCACCCACACAGCTTCTGCTTTGAGTCTTTCCACAAACACCTCCCAGGGAGACCTTCTCTGAGTACTCCATCTAAAACTGCGACTCCCTCTCCTCCGTCAGCAATGGACCTCACATCCTGCTCTATTTTTCACTGTCACACCATCTTCTACCACGCTATGTAATTCACTAAGGTTTATTTTGGCTTCCTTCTGCTAGAAGGTAAGCTCCATGGAGTTGAGGACTTTTGCCTGCCTGTTCACCAATATATCCCTCATACCTGGAGAGATGCCTAGCTCCTTAGGTAAGTACTAAGTAAGTACTAGGTGAATGGAAGGAGAAATCCAACACTTGGGATCCCTGTCCTCAAGGAGCTCTATCTGATAACTAAAGGGATACAAAAGTAAAGAGATCCTTACAACCGGACATAAAGAAAGACCTAACGTGGGCCGGGGATTTAACTCAGTGGTTTCGCTGCCTGCCTTGCAAGCGCAAGGACCCGAGTTCAATCCCTGGTACCAAAAAACAAAAAAAGATGGAGAGGCTGGGCATGGTGGCATGTGCCTATAATCCCAGCACCTGGAAGGCTGAGGCAAGAGGATTGCCATGAGTTTGGTCTATATAGTGAGTTCAAGGCCAGTGTGAACTACATAGCGAGACCCTGCCTCAAAAAAAAAAGATGGAGAGAGAGAGAGGGAGGGAGGGGAGGAAGAAAAAGGAAAGGAGGGGAGAAAAGGAAGGGAAGGGAGAAGAGGGGAAAGAATAAAAAAGGAACAGAAAAAAACAAGAAGAGCAGCCACTTCTAAGTGCTGTATATTAACACTGGTCCCCAAGAGATCAAAACTTTGCAAGACTGGGGCCCTGTCCCAACCCATCTCACCATGAGAACCCCTCTCTCTAGGCCCTGCCCATGGTTAAGGCATCTGAAATGCCTATCACATGTGGTCTAAGGGCTTCAAACTAGAGTATACAGGGTATTTCCTGCAAAAAGCAGCATCTAGGATAAATGGCTAGCACATTTCCAAGCAGAAACTGAGAACTCTGCAAGTGGCCGGTCTGGGATCCTCACTGGACTAAAAGCCAAGACAACTGGAGCAGAATCAAGGTAAACTCTCAATTCATTGTTATCTCAAAAAATCTCTCTCTCCCAAAATACATACATCTAGGCAGCCCCTGTCCAGCACAGAGAAAGCCTTAAAGTTTTCTACCTCATTCTCTGGATGGAGGGAATTATGATGAGCTACTGAGCTGTGGTAGGTGGTTATCAAAGCCACAATCACCAGAAAGACTTTTGGGGATACGGTGCCCCACAATGTGGCCAGAGACTCAGAAAGGTATGAACAGAGAGGATTTCACAGAGAAAAACAGTTTGTCACCTTGGTTGCAGGATCTACCATCTTTACTTAAAGTGGAGACAGTAACTTAGCATAGTTAACAAACTACAAAGCCCTTTTAATATTTTTCACAACTCCCTTGGGAAACAGTACACATATTGTCATCTCCCTTTTGCCGGGGATTTAGCTCAGTGGTTTCGCCGCCTGCTGCGCAAGCTCAAGGACCCGAGTTCAATCCCCAGTACCAAAAAAAAAAAAGAATGGATGCAAAGCTCTAACTAGGTGGCTTTTGGGGCTGGGGATTTAGCTCAGTGGTTCCAGCGCCTGCCTTGGGAGCGCAAGGTCCTGAGTTCCATCCCTGGTACCAAAAAAAATAATAATAATAATCCCTTTTACAACATGAAGAAACAAGTTCAAAAATGTGTCACTCGAAGGGAAGTCAGTAAGTGATAAAGCTACTGTCTGCAGCCAGACCCTCTGATCCGTTCCACTCCTCTCACGGAGACATAAGAACACCACAGGGATGCCCCAGTCTGGTACAAAAAGACGCTCTTGGGCAATCTAGGTTCTCATCTTGGCTTCATGTGACCTGGAAAAAGTCTCAATCTCAAGCTCTCTGTGCCTCTGTACTCCCTCAATAGAATATACCTCTTGGGGCTGGGGCTTTAGCTCAGTGGTTCCAGAGCCTGCCTCCCAGGCGCAAGGTCCTGAGTTCAATCCCCGGTACCAAAAACAACAACAACAACAAACTAAAATCTACCTCTTAAAGGTTGCTACTTGTTAATAAGGTGCTACTAACATCCTGACTTTGGGGGGGGCAGGGAGGGAGTTGAAGCAGGGTCTTTCTATGTAGTCAAGGCTGGCCTTGAATTCACAATCCTCCTGCCTCAGCCTCGAAGTCCTGGGATCACAGGTGTGCGCCACCAAGCCTGGCTTAACATTCTTACTTAAAAGGTCTTCTGGGCCAGGAATTTGGCTCAGTGGCACCGCGCCTGCCTCGCCAGGTCCTGAGTTCAATCCCCAACAACAACAAAAAAGGCTTTCGAATCCTAAGTGTGACTGAAACAAACCAAACAACGTGGCTGAGGAATGGTGGGTGCCAGGCAGGGAAGGAGGTTCCCAATCCGCTGGAGGCAGCCTGGGCCAATAGACCTGCTTTATTGTCGCCCTCCAAAGGCAAGGAGGCAGTAGAAGAGTTGGGTTTTGGTTTTTGCTTCTTAAAAAAAAAAAAAAATTCTTGAGGCAGAGTCCTATAATGTAGTTCAGGCTGGTCTTGAACTCACTATGGAGCCCAAGCTGGCCTCGAATCTGCAGTGACCCTCCTGCCTCGGCCTCCTGAGTGCGCTGGGATTACAGCCAGGTGCCCAAATCCCCGAGAGAGAGAATGCAGAACATCAAACTTCAATACCAACTTTCAACAGTTTAGTCACGCCACTCTACACTCTTCCTCCCACCTTCTGCCTCCCGGGATGCTCCGGAGTGGCTCAGGCTGCCTAGCGCAGCCAGCCCTGCAGGGAGGAAGGAGGCGGGGAGCGGGGAGAGTCGCCCACAGTGGGCTGACAGTCTACAACAGCCTTCTTCTGGGAGGAGTTTTCTCAGCCTCCACCGCTCCTCCCAGATACGTACCTCGAAAATACCCTCCGAGATGTTCTCAGCAACCCCTGCGCCCCTGCTCGCCCACCCCAGCCGGATGCCCCAAGACTGAGTTTCTGCAATTAGACTGGACCCGCTGCGCTCCACACAAAACACTGAAGAGACAAGGGAAGAGCGCAGTCAAGGTCCCTGCCTCTCGAAGGGGCACGTCTTGCAGAAGAATCTTCAACCTCCAAGCAGGAGAAAGGAGGGAAATAACATCTCCTCTCCACAGGGGAGGGCGAGCGCACCAGAGACTCTCTGACGCGGGAGTCCTAGCCTCACAGAAAGCGAGCGCCAGCGAAGGAGCCGGGCAGAGAGGTGAGCGCCTATTGGCCGCCTGACATGCCCATCATAGGGAACAGGGAGGCCAAGGGACCCCCACAGGGGGCGGGACTCTCCTCTGGCCCAGCCAATTGGACAGCGTGGCGGGGGCGGGGCTTGGCAGCTCGGCTACCAGAACCGGGGGGGGGAGACAAGATGGCGGTTGCGGGAGGGGGTCCTCGCCTTTCAGCTACCCCCCCCCCACCCTCGCTCCGGGGCAGAGTTTTCGCGCCACCCCCACCCCGCTCGCGAAACCCTCCGCTTCCCCCGGACCCCACCCCGCGCAATCGCTGGTCCCCGTAGGCCCCGCTACTCCCGCCCCCGTTCGGCGCGGCCCCACTGCCGCCCCCATTACCTCAGCCACCGGCCCGGCCCCACCGTGCGGGGCCCCTGGGCGCCGGCGGGCCGGCCGCCGAGCAGATCGGCGCGGCCTGGGGAGCGGAGCGCGGCCTCCTTCCGCGACTCCTCCGCCGTCCCCCTCCCGGCCCGCGCTGGGGCCCCGGCCCGGCCGCCGCCGCCGCTCCCGGGGGAGGAGGAGGGGGAATGGAGCCGCCGCCGCCGCCACGGAGCCCAGCCGAGGGGAGGAGGGATGGGCCCCCAGGCAGGACCCGCCCCTCCGGCCTCCCCCCGCACCTCCACCCCTTCCCTCGCTCCCTCCCCGGCTCCGCGGGCTCTCCCGCCGCACTGGAGCGAGAGCGCAAAAGAGGGGGCACGGGGCGGAATCCCCCCGCCCGGGCCGGCGCGCCGCGGAGCCGCCGCCGCCGCCG